CAGGGCAGATGTGGATAGATCCATGTCTGTGCACGTGAAGCTGGAATGTCAGGGCAGGGAGCAGGATCTGTGGACAGGGACAGCATCACACCAGTCCCCTCTGGGCTCTGCAGAGCAGCAGGAAAAAAGGGGAGCACTCTCTGTGAGTGCTGATGAGCCCTAAGGAAAGCACAGAGCTCTGGGGGGCAGCCTGGCTCTGTGTGTTTTGCCCTGTTTGGGGTTTGCAGTGGGGTGCATGTTCTGTGTTCGTGTGTCCCTGGCTTGGGAGCAGGTCTCAGCCCAGCCCAGGTGAAGAGAGAGAGCTGGGCTGTGTCAGAACAAGCCTCGTTTATCAATCCCTCAGCAGAGAAGGGAGGCAGGAATTGCCATAACAACAGCAGCGATCGTTTAATTTGATTTTCTGCCTGACTCCGACCGCGGGGTCTTGGGCGCTAATTCCTGCTCGGAGCTGGGGCTTCCAGACACCGTGTCTGGCCATGTCCCCTGTGAGCAGGTCCAAGGGTTAATTCCCATCCACAGAAGAAAAAAAAAGGGAAAAGATGCAGTGAATGTCTGCAGCTCCAGCTTCCAGCCCTGAGGCTGCCGTGCCCTCGCTGAGGAGCTGCAGAGCTGCAGCCTCTCCTGCTCAGGGATGTCTCCAGCTCCAGCCCAGCCACACATCAGAGCCACTGTCCCTGTCCCTGCCACCTCCTGGCCTGGGGCCAGCCTGGTTCACAGCAGGAACTGCTGCTCTGCTGAGCATGCTCACCCAACACTATGCTGCCCTCTCCTCCAGCCCAGGGAGTTCTCCCAAACCCCTGGATTTGCAGCAGCAGCATCCAGGAACAAATCCCTGAGGTCCCTGCCAGCAGCACAAGGGTCCCTGCCAGCCCAGCCCCACCATGTCCAAGGCACTGAGCTATCCCTAAGGGCTGGTGGAAATCTGTCCCTGCTGAGCTCCTGTCTCTCCTTGCCCTCCCCAGTGTGACCAGTACAAGAAAGGGATCATTTCTGGCTCCACGTGCAAGGACCTGTGTGAGGAGCGCAGCCTCGTGTTCCAGCACTGCCTCTCCTCCTCCCCCAGCCAGCAGGTAGGTCTGTGCCCCCCAGCCATGCCAGGGGCTGGGCACCACCATCAAACCCTGCAGATCTCCCCCTCTGCCCATGCTAAAGCAGAACCCAGCTCCCTCCATTGCTGTCCCCGTCCCTGTGCTCCAGGTTTACAGAGGGCTCTGGAGGGACAGGGAGGTGATCATCAAATGTGGCATCGGGGAAGCCCTGAGGGCCGACAGCCGCCCGGACTCGGTGCCCAGGAGGGACGTGGTGCTCTTTGACAAACCCACACGGGGGACCTCGATGGATGAGTTCAAGGAAATGCTCCTCAACTTCCTGAAGGTCAGTGCAGGGCCCTGTGTGATCCCACAGGCCTGGGATGGCTCCTGTGAGCCAGAAACACCAATTGTGTTTTTCCTTCCCTTTGGACAAGAGCTCCTCCTGCCAGTGCCCCCCACCCAGTGCTGGGTGCCAGTGCCATGCACTGTGGAGGAAAACCTCCAAACCTCCATTCTCTCCCATCAATTCTTACCTGTGAGATTTCAGTAGCAGCATCCCTGGAGGTGGCTGTGCCATGGCTGTGGGTGGCATCTGTGCTGGGCAGAACTCATTTGGTGGCCCTGGTAATTGCCCCTGTTGGGGCTTCTGTAGCAGTGGTGTGGTGGCAGTTCTGGCAGGAGGGTTTAGAACAGCCCTGAGGATGGTAAAATTCTGCTGGAGCTGGATCTGCCCACACACGGTGTGGCACTAGATTTTCTGCAGTGTCACCATATCCTCCTCTCCCCAGCTCAGTTCTTTGCTCCTCCAGTTTAGTTTTATGACGTGACACCCAAACATGGAGAGCTGTGAGGGTCTGATGACACTTCTTGTCCTGTTTGCAGTCCAAGCTGGGGGATCAGCCATCTCTTCCCGCCTTGGTGAGCCGGACCATCACCATGGCAGACGTGAACCGTGATGGGAAGGTGTCCCTGGCAGAGGCCAAATCCATCTGGGCGCTGCTTCAGCTCAACGAGTTCCTCCTCATGTTCTCCTTGCATGAGAAGGAGCACACAGCCAAGCTGCTGGGGCACTGTGGGGACCTTTATGTCACCGAGAAGATCCCCCACACCTCTCTCTACGGGGTGGATGTCCCCCCTTTCCTGCAGTCCCTGCTGCCTTCCATCGGCCACCAGCTCATCCACCAGTGGTTTGCTCCAGCCTGGCCCCGGCGTGCCAAGATCGCCATCGGCCTCCTGGAGTTTGTGGAGGAAATCTTCCATGGGACCTATGGGAGCTTCTACATCTGCGAGAGCAGCCTCAGGAACGTGGGCTACAACGACAAGTACGACTTCAAAATGGTCAACCTGCGCAAGGTGGCCACGGAGATGACAATCAGAGGTTTCCTCAAGGGCCGGCACTGTGAGCAGAACGGGGACTGCACCTACGGCAGGGACTGCACGGCCACGTGTGACAAGCTCCTGAAGCAGTGCAAGAGTGACATGGTGCAGCCCAACCTGGCCAAGGTGTGTGGGCTGCTGCAGGACTATCTGCTCTATGGAGCTCCCCTGGAGCTGAAGGAAGAGCTGCAGAAGCAGCTCCGAACTTGCATGACCCTCAGTGGCCTGGCCAGCCAGATGGAAGTGCACCACTCCCTCGTGCTCAACAACCTCAAGACCTTGCTCTGGAAGAAGATTTCCAACACCAAATATTCCTAATGGGGGAAGCACAGCCCTGGAGTTTCCAATCTGTGAGCTTGGAGTGAGGTCCAAGGGCTGAAGGCCTGTTTCTCCATCCTCTAGCCCCCAGGAAAATCACACCCTGCACAGGGAGTTCAGCAGAGCTGCAGCCCCTTCTCCTTCATGGAAAACCAAGCATCATGACTTCCACCAGCCGGCAGGATCAGGGATGGGTCGGCAGGAGCAGAGCTGGGACACAGAACAGGGCTGAGCAGGCTTGGGGGAGGAAGAAGACATGGAAAGGGAAAAGGAAGCAGAGCCCAGCTGGATGCATCAAACTGTTCCTTGATGAACAGGAAAGCAGAGCAAAGCGGTGGGAATGAATCATTCATGCTGTACTTGTCACATCTCCTTTTGAGGAACGGCTCTGATGTAAATAAACAGCTTTTACGTGAATCACACCCGTCCATCAATAGCCAAACAGCAGCCTGTTAAGTACCAGCTTGTTTGTGATCCAAAAAGGAGGAAAAGGTAGATTTCCCCATTCAAAAGTCTCCTTAAGTGTCTGAGTCATCTGCCATCAGATCCAGCTGTCACACAGGAAGCAGATCAGCTGTCTGCTGCACCGTGGAGAATCCTGGCAGTTCTTTGGTTCCGTTTTTAAGTGCCTGACCCTGACGGTGATGCCGTGGCTTGTGAGAGGCTCCCTGCAGCTGCTCCTGCCCCCAAGTCTGGAATTGGCAGCACAAGCCATTCCCTCACGTGTCCGCTCTGGAAGCGGCCGAGGCCGAGGATGGCTTAAAGGCAAAGGGCTAAACACGAACCGTCGTGACCCCTTCACTGCTCCGGGTGTCACTGCCCGCCGCACTCAGAGCAGGGATAAGCCAACCCCTCCGTTTAATTCTCCAAAAAAAACTAAGCTGGGTTTGCCCTGCAGAGGTTGAAGGTTAATACCAGAATAATCCAGTGCTTCTCTCATTATTAAAATGAATTTCCAGGCAAAGCTTTTAGCAGGTCTCCAGACATTTTTTTTTTGGCTGTGTCTGCACTCCCAGGGCTCCAACTATGGCTGTTTCCTTGAAACGCTCAATTATAGCAATCTTACAACTCTGGGCAGGGAGGAAGAGCTGGATAAACTCCCCCAAGGTTGCTCTGTTCCCAGAACAGCCCTATTCCTGCTGCTGGAGCATGTGCTGATTCTGCTGCCAGCAATTCCTTAGGGAAGTGAGCGTGCAGCTGATGTGCAATCACAAAATAAAAATACACCTGACACTGCACAGCACCAGGGCTGCAAAATTTAGGAGCCTTTTTGGGAGAAAGATCAAGATTTTCCTTCTGTTGGTTTTTTTTAGGATCCTCATCACCTCTCACTGAGGGCACTTTAGGGTCAGGAGTGCTCTGTATCCAGCAGAGCGACCAGAGCTCTCCAGGTTGAGGAGTTGCCTCTGAAATGTGATTTATCCATGGAATAGTTGAGCACTCTCAGGATTTTGTGTTTGAAGCCTGGATTGGGTAGGGACATTGCCAAGGTCCTGTGTGCAGGTGCAGGTTCAGGTGCACAAGGGAAAGCCAGGGCTGGAATTCACAGGAATTCACAACTGAGGCTCCAGGGAGCCACCCCAGCTCCTCATCCCTTGTCCTGCATCCCCATGGCAACAGCTCCGTGCCAAATCAATCTCCTCCTGCCAAAATCCCCCCTCAGGGTGTCACAAAAGCCATTTTTCATCTTTTCTTTCATTGTTTACTCCCCCTAAATCCCTGCTGTTCCCTTCCCTCAAAGCAGTGGTAAAGCACCTGGAAAAGTAGAGGAAAATTGTTCCCCCAATATCAGAACCTCCCCAAATATTTATGAAGAGGTGGCCCCTGTAGCTGAGACCTGGCCCTGACAGCTTAATAGAAATAGACACTTGTGACAATTGTTCCCTTAATCCATGCCCCCGTGGCCCTGGACACTCAGAGGAATTGCTGCTGACTGCCAGGAATTCTGCTCATCACTAATAAAAAAGCACAAAGTGAGTGCAGTTTACAAACCACACTGGGATACACGAGAGAAATGAGTCAGGGCAAAGCTGTTTTACACTCCAATTCCTCCAGATTCCCCATAGGAGATGGAAAAAAAAGCCAGGACATTCCAAGACTGACAATCTGATCTCACTGGATGCCCTTTGTGCTCAAGAGGATGGAGGTAAAAACCTTTAATTGCTTTAAAACAATCCTAAATTCTCATATCCACGAAGTCTTAAATCCTACAATGGTTAAAAAATAGCATTAGTTGGGGTGCTACAAACACACAGCATAATCCTTTCAATCTTGTAGGTGGCATCTTTATTTAGTTTTTTTATTTAAATTCTTCTTAACCATGTAGAGAAAACACAGATGATCAAGTTTTAGGAACCTCCAAACCATCAGACGTGGATGCTGCCAACCAGTTCTCAGTTGCAATGTTTGTCAGACATTCTGCAGCTCAAGGAATTATCTGCAAATAAAAAAAAAAAAGGTCCAGGATGTCAGAAAAGTTGAAGAAGAGGCAGGAAAAGGGACTAGTAATGTCAATACTAATGAGCTAATTAACCCCTGCCATCCAGCCTCTGCTGTCCTCATTTTGTTGGGATTGTCTCATGATTTTTCATCCCAGAGGAAATAATGAAATTTAAAATGAAACCACATTTTAAGGCTCTGTTATCAGGGTTCACAAGGGAACCTTTAAGACAGGGATTTCCTTCAGTCCAGAAGGACATGGCAGAAATTCAGGAGAAGCTCTTTGCTGTTACATCAGAAAGGTTTTGGAAAAATATCTGGCTGGAGGAGCTTAGGAAAGGGATCATTTAAGAGCAGGATAGCTGGAGCCTGCTCTGGGTTATTCCATCACTCCCTAAAAATCCCAAGGTGAGTTTGCCAACCTCAGTGCAGAGCCAAGCTATTAATAGTGCAGGGAAAAAAAAAATCTGGGCTTATTCCAGCTTTTAAAGCCATGACACAAACCAGTCCTTGATGATGAAGGGCTGTGCTATGTGCAGAGATTTTTAATTCCTTTCTAAACCACTTTGATGCATAACATTCATGTTTTCCAGAGCTCAGTGAAGCAATATCCATGGCCCAGGAGAGCTGCTTGGGGAAGGGCAGTTCCAATAAATGCCATCAGGAAAATGTTCATGGTTCTGCTGTGCCTCACACAGGGAAGCTCTGAAGAGACTCTCATTAGCACTCAGTGGCCATGCAGAACCCCTGGTGTGAGGAAAGCCTGATGAAAAACCCCAAACACATATTGCAGGGTTAAAAGAAGTCAAGAAATAATTTAAATAAAAGAGCCACATCCTCAAGCATAACCATATTCCCACAACCTTATTAACATTCTTTTCCAAAGCTAGTGACTTTTGCCAATTAAGGGGTTCACGTTGCACCACCTTTGGCCCTGTAATGGCCATTTAATGAGGTTTCCCAATTAGCAGTGCCAGAGTAACTCAGTGCAAAGCCTCAGGGTCACAATCTGCGTGCCCAGAGCTGCTCTCAGTTTCTGGTGTCCCTCAAGAAGGGACAGTGACACACAGCACGGTTTGGATACAGGGACACCTGTACAGGGTCTGGAGCAACCTGGGATAGTGGAAGGTGTCCCTGAATAGGAGAAGGACTGCAGGACAGTGTCAGCTGCACCCTGTCCATCCCTCACCACTCCCCGTGAAAGGCAAGAGAACAGTTAAAGCAATCAGTGTCAGGTTGTTGAGCAATCCTGAGAGCTCACAGGACTCAGAGCACCAGGGAAGACATCGCCTGTTCCTGTCTGCCACCGAATGACACAAACGTGACACTGCAGCCACGCCTGCAACACGACTGGGGCAGGGGCTGGGCAGCTCCCAGCACTGCAGCTCACCTGCTCCGGGGCTCCTGCACGGCTCAGCGCTGCCCCTGGGGAAGGGGGAAATACACGGACAGGGTTTAGCCACACCCCAAAGCCTGCTTACACCGCTGCTGTTTCACTGAAAACAGAAATTTAAAAGAAATAAATTAACGGCACGGGAGTATTTTGATTTTCTGATAGGATTAAACTTGGTGACTCCCAGATCAGAAAGCCACGTGCATCCTCTGCTGCACAGAGCAGCACTTTTAACACCCACATCTCACATTGCCAGCAGCTCAGTTAGTTTTTCCCCTGTCTCCCATCAGGCTGATTAACAGTGTCAGGCTATCAATCACTCGGAGTGCTCACGGGGTGCAGAACAAACGAGCGTAGAACATAGCCTGGGTCTCTCTTGCCACTCTTTGACACAAAGATGCCACAGCAGCCATCTCTGCAACGCCAGTGGCAGCCCGGGGGGAACAAATAACCCAGAAAGACTGAAAAAAAATATAATTGTGGGTGGATGTCAACCCCTGGAAGCATTTAAGGCCAGGGTGGATGCTGCTCTGAACAACCTGGGATAGTGGAAGGAATCCCTTCCAATCCAAACCATTCCAGGATTGTGTGGTATTTATAAAAGCAAGATTTTATCACCTATTTAAAAGCAGTGCTACAAAGGTATTCGCTGCACGTGGTGATACCAAATGCAGCATCCCACTTACAGTCAGAAAGGTGTTTGAAACTTGCTTGGGCAGCCTTTTTCTGAAGGATCACCCTTCATTTCTGGTCACACCATCTTGGTCACCTCATGCTTTTGTCCAGGCTGAAGAAAGAAAAATAAAGGAAATATGCTGTTAATAATCACCTAACTACCTTTTTTTTTTTTTTTTTTTTGTGAAAAGCAGCTTTTATCTGAAAACCAGATATTTACAACAGTTAAAAAGAGGATATCTACTGAAAATTGATGTTAGCTACAGAAATATTTGAAAACATTTTCCTGAAAGCCCTAAGTTTTCAGTGGGGTGTATTAAAATATACACAGCTGTGTATGCTTTAAAGATAGATATATAATACATATATATTACATATAATATATATTAAAAGATATACATTTAATGTATATATATATGTATTTATATTTTTTTTTCTCCTTGTGCATTCCATGATATGCCCCATTTCCAGCGCACGTGGCAGGTCCCGGAGAGCACAGAGTCTGAGGGGGAAAGCGCCATTCCCACATCCTCACCTCGCTCGTGTCTGCTCTGAGGGGGAAGCGCCATTCCCACATCCTCAGCTCGCTCGTGTCTGCTCTGAGGGGGAAGCGCCATTCCCACATCCTCACCTCGCTCGTGTCCTGCCGCCGCAGCCGCTCAGCGCCGGGGCCGGGGAGAGGCGGCGCCGGCCCTGAGGGAGCCACGCCGGAACATGGCGGGGGAAGGTGAAGCTGTGGAGCCGCCTCAACCAGCACCGATTTCCTGCGCCTGAGGGACGCAGAGCTTGCCGCTGGCCCTGCAGGGAGAGGCCGAGGCCGGTTCCGGTCGTTGTCCGGCTGAAGCACCAGAGGAGCTGAAGGATCCAGCTCCCACCGCCCCGCGCCCGCCGAAAGGGCGATGGAGCCGCCGCATCCCGCTTATATAGGGCGGGAACGGGCGTGCGTGCGCGCCGCTCTTCCGGCCGCCAGCGCCCCCTGCCGGCCCGGAGGACCCAGAGCCGGGAGAGGGCGGGGTTGGGATGGGACATGGGAGGGGACACGGAACAGGACACCAATGGGACATGGAGCCCTGCCAACCACAGAGACACTAGGCTGCTAAGGGATGGATATCCCTTTATCCCTTTTCTCAGCTGCTCCTGGAGTCCCGCACCTCTTGTGGTGGCAAAGGTTGGGCTCCCAGTGTGTCCTGGGACAAAGTGGGGACCCTCCGACCCCCACTGGGAACCCTCTCACCCTGCTTCAGCCACCTAGCTTGGGGACATCCTTTCCCTCCCATTGCCTTGACTGCCCTGGTCATCCCCAACCCATTCCACAAGGGAAAAACCCCATAAGAATCACAAAGATAAATCCCTTTATTTGCTCAGAAGAGACGCAAGATACAAGTGGTTTCAGGTGAGATCAGGACAGCAGCACCTCCCTGCCACAGTGACAAACTCAAGGACAGGAGCAGGGGCTGGCCTGGCTCCATTTTCCCTTGCATTGCTCTGGACAATTTTTTGGAGCTAGAGACCCTCCACAACTATGGGATTGCTGTGTACAGGACTGGGGGTCCCTTCCCCAGCCAGCCAGCGGTGCCAAAAGCCAGTGCTCTGGATGCAGAGCCAGTCCCATGGGATAACTGGAGCAGATCCCATCATCTGAGCCCATCCCTAGGACTCTAATTGCGCTCAGCTTTGCTCCTCAGCTCCTCCATGGCCTCGCTGTGCCGCCTCTTGTCCTTGGCACGGATGATGGTCATCCTGAAGAGCTTGCAGTAGAGCTCCACGGCCGCGGGGCTGTCGTCATTGCCGGGAATGGGGTACGAGATCAAACACGGGTTGCAGTTCGTGTCCACCACCCCGACCGTGGGGATGTTCATCTTGGCCGCGTCCCGGATGGCCACGTGCGGCTCGAAGACGTTGTTGAGGGTGCTGAGGAAGATGAGGAGGTCGGGCAGGCGGACGCCGGGGCCGAACTGGATGTGGGCGTTGGTGAGGAGCCCGCCCTGCCAGTAGCGGGTGTGCGCGTACTCCCCGCACGCCCGCGCCGTGCTCTCGACCAGGTGGCAGAACTGGCGCTTGCGGCTGACGAACAGGATGATGCCCCCGCGGTAGGCGACGTGGGCTGTGAAGTTGAGGGCCAGCTGTAAGTGCTGCATGGTCTGATCCAGGTCGATGATGTCCTGATCCAGGCGGCAGCCGAAGATGTAGGGCTCCATGAACCTGCGGGGGCAGCGGGAGGGTGGCACAGGGGACACGGGGATGGGGTGTGTGGGCACGGAGCGTTTCTGGATGTGTGGAACCATCCCATGCTCCTGCTCCTGGCTGATACCAGGTGTTCACTGCAGACAGCCCTCGTACTCAGTGTCTGTCCCAGTCTCACACCTTCTCTGCCCACATTTGGGGAGATTCCTGCAAGCTGGCCTGTGTGGGCAGTTCCAGGCTCAGGCCAATCCAGCAAATGTGGTCTGGGGAAGCATTCCGGATCACGAACAGCACCACTCACCTGTGCCGACATCCCTTTTTGTGCCCCAGGTGCACCCGAGCATCAAAGAGATCTTTCAGGGTGAAGAGCTCCTTCAAGTTGAAGAAGTCGGGGTGGCGGAGAGGCTCGGTCAGCAGCTTGTCATCCTCAGCTGAGAGCAGAGAAACAAACAATCATTGTGTTTGTGGGGACGAGCAGAGTGGCACCATGACCGCTGCTGCAAGGCGGGCATCACTCAAGGACCGGGATGCCAGGGATGCAGTGCCCGGCTCTGGGCACTCACCGCGGGGCCGGCTGCCTGTCGGGACCGGGGCCGGGGCCGGAACCGGGACGGTGCTGTAGAACCGCGGGGCTGCTGCGGGAGAGAAACACGCGGGTCACACGGGCGGGCCGGGGCGCTCCGAGCCGAGCCGAGCCGGGCCAAGCCCCGCCGCTCACCTGCCCGCAGGAGCCGCAGCACCGCCATGGGCACGGAGGAGGAGGAGGAGGCGGAGAAGGGGAAGGTCAGCGGCGCTTTCCGCTTCCTGCGGGGCGGAGCTCAGCGCACCCTCCGCGCTCCCCGGGGCGGTTGCTCGCACCGCTCCCCGCCCTCCGCGTTTCGTCGCCGGGTAACGCTCCGTCCCCTCGGCCCGCTCCGTCCCCTCGGCCCGGCCCGGCCCGGCCCGGCCATGTCCGGTCACAGCCCGGGGGTGCCCCGGCGCTTCCAGGAGCTCACCCTGTACCGCGGTTACGGGTGAGCGCTGTCCCGGGCGCGGCTCCCGGCGCGCCGCTCCCCGCGCTACCTTTGCGCCACCTGTGCCTACCTGTGCGCCACCTGTGCGCTACCTGTGCTCTCCCCCCGCAGGCAGCCGCCGCTTCACCCCCGGTTCCGCACCACCAACCAGACCTACGGCAGCAGGGCCCCCACGGTGCACGAGTTGCCGGTACGGGACCCAGCACCTGAGGCAGATGGGGACACGCTGTCCGTGTCCGTGTCCATCCCCGGTACAGCCGGGCTTTGCAGTTGCTGGCCGTGTTGGTATTGAAAACATCCCCCCTACCCCATCCCCGATCCCCTTTTCTCGCCACTCGCAGAACTCCTTCCACTCCATGCCGCACAAGTTTTCGGATCACCTGAGCAAGAGTGGCATGTACAGGAACGACAGCCTGAACACATCCCTGGAGAAAAGCCACTGCACCGGCTCTGACACCTTCATCACCGCCTACGAGCACCTGGATTTCCACCCCAGCTACAACCCCAGCGGCCCCTCGCACTGCCGGGACCAGCCGCTGTAAGGAGCGCTGCAGTTCTGTCTGCCCGCCCACAGCCAGCCTTGGTACTCAATGGAGCCGTTAGAGTACAGAGGGAATGGTATTAGGTGTAATATATTAAAGATTTAAGGTGGTTAAGTGTGTTAGGTAGCTCGTGTGAAGCATTTTAACTGATTTATCAGCGGTGGATATATATACTAGAACGACATAAATTCCCCTTCTCCCCTTCTGTCACTAATGACCCTTTACACTCTTGCCTCATGTACCACATTTCATTAAAAATTAAGATCTAAACTGCTTCTCTACTATTTAATGAATAATCAGTCTGCAAGTTTTCCAGAGCTATTCATTAACTCTTTGGATTTCTTGTAGAAAGTTCATGTTTCCTCTCTCTCGAAAATACAAAGTTTTAAGAAATTATTCAAATAATGACAAGTAATCAAAAAGAAGATTTTTTTCAAGTTTTATTGGAACAACTGTAGGTACAGGCAAAGAAACTGCATCAGTTGGACAGTGACTGAAAGAATACCTGAACATTTTTTGGCTTAAAAATGAGTTTTTAAGAGAAACTACTTTGCCTGTTTATGGATGAGAAACAGTCCCACCTTACATTAACAATGAACATAGTATTATTCAAACTGTTTGCTAAAAATAGAAATAATGAGTGTAACGTTATGTCCAAACACCACTGCAATTTATACCACTCACATGTCAGAAATATTCCCTGTTTGTGGTAAGAGCTGGGTAAATCCCCCTCTGCTGCAAACACACCAATAAACTGGAACAGAGAAATAAACTGAGCAGAAATGGGCCTGAAAAGTTAATATTTCAAAGATTTAACATCTGAAAACAAATAAGCAACCCTCTTTCATTTGCTGTGATTCTTGTATGAGACTTTAGACAATAGCTGGAGCTTCTTAGAACTTCCCTTTCTTCTCCTGAAATGAGAAAATAACAAAGTGCTGAATCAATAGTTGTGCCAATGTTACATATATTTTTATGCACAGATTTTTCTGCAGGTGGCATAATTTAGGGATAAGGCTGCCTCTTAAAAATATAAACAGAGTGGATTCTGTCACATACGTTCCCACTCCATCTAAAAACACCCACCTCTTCTTTCTTGCCTCAATTTCTTCCCTTTTAATTTTATTCTTTAAACCAGTTCCTTTGAAGAGTTTGCCATGCAGTGTATCAAACTGTTCAGAGGTTGGATCAAATACACATTTTTAAAAATAAATACCTGTACAAATTCAAAATATCATCCTAAAAATGACTCATTTTACCACACAGGATCTACCTGGAACAATCTCTTTCTACTCTGTCTTTTCAAAGGAAGATTTTTCACATTTGCAGACAAAATTATATGAAGCTGAACTATCACCAACCGAAGGGATGAACAATTAAAAAGCTTCTACATTAATAAAAGAAACGGGGGCAGGGATAGTTTGTTCCTGTATAAAGAACAGCTACATGCCAAAACAAATGTTCCTAAAATAGCAGCAAAGAATTGGGAATAAAAAATTAAGAGAGTTCTTGTTGTCCCTTAAAGATTCTTGAAGATTGGTCCCAAAGCACCAAAACCAGTTACTGAGGTAAAAAATGAAGCAAAATTCTCTTTTCACATTTATCTGACAGGTGTGGTACTGCAGCCAGGATCTGTAACTCACCAGAGCCCTAATAAAAAGCAAGTGGTTTAATCACTTAATATCTAAATTAACAAGTTTTGTGCTCTGACTGGAAAGAAAAATTAGCATTGTGCATTTTTTAAAAATATGAAGGGTAGCTTTACAAGATTTAGAAGAGCTGAGTTTATGGCTCCATTTATCTACTGCAATAAGGGATTAATTGGTGTCTCAGGAGGGAAAAGGAGTTTTCTGGACACTCCCCAGAGCTGGCACTGGGGTGACAGGGCCAGCAGGGCTGTGCCCACTCTGTGCCCTCCCTGGGGCTGTCATGGGCATTGTAAACAGGAAATAAAAACTTATTTTGGAACTGCTTTTATGCAGATTCAGTGCTGCAGTCCCTTGGTACCACGTGTGGGAATTTATTGCCACTCAATATAATCTCTTTTATTCCTCAGCCTGCTCAGTGATGTTTAGAAGGGATTTGTTATTGCTCCAAACCACCAGACTTCTCTTTTCTGAACAAGTGATGAGAACTGGGCCAGGATGAGGACACTGCCACTGGAGCCCTGGCTCTTCCAGTTCCAGAGGTGCTCCTTGACACACATTTATTACACAAGGGAAGATTCCACTTCTTGACCACAAACTCCAGCAAAGAAAACTCTTGGGAGTTCTGCTATCACCACCATTCTCACCTCCCAAAAGCCACCCCTTTGTATTTTGTAAATTCTCCTCCTTCATTTTTTGTTGCAAAGAATTCATGGCATCCTCAGTCAGGAGGGAAGAAGAGAGAACACAAAAATTATTACTCACTCAAGATGATGACACAAACCATAGGAGCACTCCAGTTTCACGGTCCACGGGCAGAACCCCATTTATTAAACATTAGAAACTCAGCAATGTACACCAGTTCCTATATACAAATCAAGTTCATCAATTAAAAAAAAAAAAAAAAGTGCTGTTTGAAATCAGGTTTTATTTAAAGCACAAGGTAACTGGAATTGCATTTTCACTGGGAGTGAATCAGGTCACGAGTGGTACTGAGGACACAGACACAGCAACAGGGGCACGAGACATCTCTGAAGTCTTAATGTGGATTTACTGAAAACTTTTGAGGAGAAACATTCAGCTTTTTATACAAACAGTACAGAGTGCTTCCAACATCTCTAGGAAAATTAAGTGTACAGTTTAATCCTTTTAAAGCAAGGTACTTGGAAAAACTTCTAGTTTAAAATACCAGCCTATTGACCTATTCCAAACAAAAGGCTCAAATCCTGCAACGGAATCAAGGCAGAGCAAAAGATAAACCTGTGGAGAGGGAGTGCAGGCACTGAGCTAAGGAAAAACAACTTTTCCAAGGTATCCTACCACAAAATGGAGATGAGCTAACACACTGACCTTTAAACAACCCGACCGACCAACCCCAGGGCTACAAAAAGGGGGCTGGAAAAGTCAGAAATGCCAAGTGAGCACTAGAAACATGTTTAAAACGTAGCTGCACGACAGCATGAACACACCAAGATGTTTAATTCTCTACATGCCACAGTCACTACTCTATGCTACACCGTATTTTGCCCACTTTCTGCATCACACCAGGGACACCATGGGATTCTGGATCCAGTCTCGGCTGCTTTTGCTCCATTTTGCAAGTTTAAGGCCAGCCTGGAGGAAGACTCCTGAAGCACTGAGAAACAAAGTGATGCTAAGTGGTGGTTTGGCTGAGAGAAGTTCTGCAGAAGAGCAGACAAAGAGAATATCAGATCAATTCACAGGGACAAGATGTGAGAACAAACTCCTCCAAGGACTTGACGACACAAAAACAAAAATGAAAGAGCCAACAACTCCAATTTACACCTTCTGAATTTGCAGCAAACCAGTGTGGGGGCACTTTTTGTGTGTGTGTGATGTCAATGTGCTACTTCAATCCTGCTGAAAGTCAGTACAAATAAAAAGATAGTAGTGAAAAATTGCTTTATTCTGGCTGCTGGAAACGGAGGCAGAGAAAAAGCCTGAAGAAAGAACAGTGCTGAAAATATCCGTGGCTGAAAAAATCCATTTGTGTTGTGACTTCCTACAGCAAACTCAGCTTTGCTTTATTGCACCAAAATTGTCAGTGAAAAGTTCACAGAAATGTAACATTTTAAAAACCACTTCTGAAAAAGGAAAGTTAAGGGCACTCAGTTCCAGGAAGTTCATTCAGGGAACCAAAAAGCCACCTCTGGGTAACTGCAGGGCATCAAAATGAGAGAGCTGAGAATAACGAGGAATTGTCTGAGCCCTGCAGGCCCGACAGTACAGAAATCCAGGGAAATCCAGGGAAATCATGTTGTCTGAACAGACAAACTCCTTCACTTGTCTTGGACTGCAATTGTGCTTGGAATCATCTGCTAGCAGGAGGTTCTGGGTATTCAAAAGGACTTGGAGCAGCTGCTGAGATCACTTTGCACAGGAGGTGCAGACAGAGCCATCCACTCGATTTACCTGAATGTGAATTTGCAATTTTATCTTCCAGGCTGGATCTCCACAGCTGCACTCGAGTTCTGCTCAGGGACCTCATCCCACAGTCCTAAGGGTGGGAAAAACTGAGCTCCCAGCAAAACCCACCCCACAGGATTGTCCTGAGGCAGCTTGGGATGGCCAGGGTCAGATCATCTGCACTGCCATCCAAGGCTGTGTTTTCCTAGGATCTCTTAACAGGCTCCTAAATAAATTCTGTGCGCAAACAGGTTTCCCTTTGAGAGACAATTAGAGGCCTCATAATTTAAAGTGTGATCAGCCAATATCTTATCTACAGTAACTACAGCATCCTGTAGGAATGCAAGCCCTAAAAATCATTATAAAAAATATTTCCTTAGAGCACTTTAAATAATTTACAAAATTCTACAAAAGCTACGAATGCCTATCCGTGATATCCCTGTTAAATAGAATTATTTTCACATTAGTGTGTGTATGATATACAGGTATCAGCATCTCCCACTGCCTCTTCTTTCCTGTCTCAAGCTTTATCAAGGTAATTACAATCACAGTTATTTTATAAAAAGACTGCTAGTGTAAAAAAAAAAAAAAAAAAAAAGTACTTACATATTTGAAACCTTTTTTTCCAAGAGGGAACCTGGGCGGTCCCCTGCAGGTAGGTCAGTAAATTTTGCACAGGTTTTGGTTGAAAATTCCTGTCCTTGGTGTACTTCACTAGCTGCTTCCCTGTTCTGCAGGACAGGTATTTTTCCTTCAATTTTGGAGCTCGATACCTGAACTTCTTCCTGCCTGCCGACTTTTTCTTCCTTAATGCATATCTGCACACTGTTATCTGCACATGCTCCTCTACTATTCTGCACTGCTGCTGCTGTCACACTGAATTCCTGCCTTGGGCAAGCTAAACTTGGATCTGGCCTCTTGTCCAGCTGGTTATTTCCTCCCTTACTGCCCACCTGAGCATTCTGCTGAGCTGGCTCTCTGCTGACTTTATCTGCTTTTCCCACACTGCACTCAGGGCGTGGGGGATCTGCACTGCAGTCAGCCCAGCTGCCTTGGTGGATATCTCCTTCCTTGATCCACATCTGGGTGTTCTCAGCTCTGCAGGTTCCTCTGCAAACCTTATCAGCTTTTCCTGCTGCCACACTCTGCTCCTGTGAGGAGTGGGACTGATCCCCTGGAGCATCAGCCTTCCTGCAA